TTGAAAATGCTTTGCATGCATTTTTCATGATGAAAAAAGGATCTGGGCAGCATCGGGATCTGGAAGAGTTAAAAAAAAAATTTAAAACGCAAACGCTTGTAAACGCGATTTGCCACGTTTAGGCGCGTTTACAAGTGTTTTGGGTTTGAAACTTTGATAAAATCGACTGCTGAACGCAAGTTTTCTACATTCAAAAAAACAACTGTAAACTCAAATACCTGTAAACGACTGTAAACAAAGATGTGTACATGGACACATAGGAAAACATTAGGGTGAGTTCAGGGGCTGCTGAAAAAAAACACTGAACAGCTCCTAAACGTGATTTTATCAGCTGCAGTGTACATAAGCCCTTACTATGAAAATGGAGAATAATAAAAAAAATGTTAAATATTCACTTCAGTAATCCAGTCATGTGAAAGCATCTGTACATGCTTTCCTACTCAAAGTGAACATGGCTTTGCTTTTTATATCATTATTTAATTAAAGTTAATATTCGCATAAACATCCCACATCATTTAGTGAATCAGCCTCCTTGTGTTAGTGTTAGTGAATGTCAAAAAATCCAACATTGTGAATAGACCTGGATTCCCCAATGTTAAAAAGAATATCCTATTGTGTGCCAATGTATGACAAAGTGTCACTAAGACACAGTCAGGAAAAATCTTTACAATGAAGACAAAAAAGTTAACTTACACACAAGTTTAACACAAAAATGGTTTTGTCTGTAGCTGGGACCTTTAATATTGAAGTGACTGTAAATGAAATTTATGGATAGCAAGAAGGTTGAATGAGGTTGTATGAGGTGAGAGGAATATGGAAGATAAAAAATGTGAAACTGAACATCATGAGAGATAAATGTGAATAACATAGGTCATGGGGTAGATGAATTCGTAAAATAGGTTGTATTGCAAGGAGTGTGGATTAAAAAATGAGAAAATTAATATATAGGAATAGAACCCTTGTCATCATCAGTGTAAAAAATATTTTAAACAAAACAAATTGTGGCATAAGGTCAATCATAACATCCATAGTAAATCCGATTATTGTGTTTATTTCGCAAACAATTTGATTTTGGCACCAACAAGTGCATTGCTTCTGAAAGCATTCTACGATGACCTCTGCAGTAACTGGTAAATTAGATTGAAAATGGACTAGCAAATAAATGTTTCTAAAAGTTGTTCAGGAGAGAATGTTTACGTAATACAAAGTAAGCAATGGGGTTGATTTATTAAAGGCAAATAGACTATGCGCTCTGCAAGTACATTTGCTCTAGAGCTTAGCAAATGAGGTAAAGCTTCACTTTACAAAAAATACCCAATCAAATGCAAGGAGAATAAAAAACAGCATTGTTGCTTGCTTGTGATTGGATGATGGAAGTCAGCAGAGACCCCCCACCCCCCCATTTTCTAAGTTTTGTAGCTTGCATCTGCACAGTCTATTTGCCTTTAGTAAATCAACCCTAACGTGTAATATTTGTAAGTTTGCTATGGCTCTTGTCAAAGGGCAATTGTCTGTTTGTATGTAGGTTACTGCGATAGAAGAAACTATAATTGAATATCTTTAATCTAAAGCAAATTAAAAAAAAACTACACTACACATCCACTATGGGGGATGCACACTGTGGAGGGGGCATGCTATGGAGAAAACATGCGGGCTGTGGAGGAGGCTTGCTGAGGCAAGCCGCCAGTTGTGGGAGATGCCGGGGAGCAGGCAAGCTGAAATGCTGGAGGATCACTGAGAGGGAGGAGGAAGACAGGGAGAAGGAAGACAGAGGTGGAAAGAGGTAGAGCAGCCAGCAAATCATGAGAGAGGGAGTTTGGGACACAGTGACAGGAGGAGCTGCAGGGAGCGAGGGACACAGTGACAGGAGGAGCGGCAGGAGGTTGCGAGAACACTGATGGGAGAAGAGGCCGGAGCTGCAAGCAAACTGACAGGTGAAGCTGCAGGCATGCAGTGAGTGTGGGAGCAGTACTGTGTCAGGGGAAAAACTAAGGCACTGTGAGTAGAGTGAAGTATAGGGTGTACTGTTGGAGAAACTGGGAGTAATTCTGGAGTAACTTGCAGTACTGAAAGTAATTTTGGAGTAACTGTGGAGTAATTTGTAGTAACATTTTGGGGTTATTTTTGGAGTAACTTGGAGTATTAGGAGCATTGGGAGTGATTTTGGAGTAACTCAGGGTGCTGGATTGTTTTAAAGTAATTCAGAGTACTGGGAGTAATGTAGAGTAACTTCACATATTAGGAGTAGTCTGGAGTAACTGGGAGCAATTTGGAGTAACTTGTGGTACTGGTAGTAATATTTGGAGTTATTTGGAGTACTGGGAGTTAACAACAAATGTTATATAGCAGAAGGTAGGAAAAAGAAAAAAAATCTTATTTTTTTCTTGACTATCCCTATTAGGTAGCAGGTAGAATGTTCAACAGGATTGGTGATGCAACCCAGTGCACATGTTGCTCCATGTAAGCGTTCCTTGAAGAACCATTCAAGGGAGAATACTGCTGTGTAAGGTGGGACCTAGTTGTTTCTCTGGAAGCCCAGATCCCAGATCTAGAGAATCAGGTGGCAACACTGTAAAGCATCAACAGCCTGGAAAGGAGCTTGGACATTACCCAGCGGGTGCCAGTACAGAGGGGGAGTGGATATGGAGGAGCAGGAGCCAGAGGTTGGTAGCTGGATGACAGCTAGAAGGAGGGGTAGAGGGAAAAGCCTTTGAGAGACTAATCCTGAGTTGGTACATCCCAATAAATATACCAAGTTTCATGATGTTGGGATATTCACTCAGGGGTGGCATTGTTGGAGCAGACCCACTTCCCTAGCTGCCAGGGGAACAATTGCTCCAGTAAGGTGAGGGGCGAAGATACAGGCAAGGTTAGGCAGATGGGTAGGGGACTCAATTATTAGAAGAACACATAGAGCAATCTGTCAAAAAGACAGTGATTGCCGAACAGTATTTTGTTTACCAGGTGCTTGGGTTCGGCATGTCGTGGATCAGATGGACAGATTGTTGGGTGGGGTGGGCCCAGCTATAATGTACACATTGGTACCAGTGACAAAGTTAGAGAAAGGTGGAGCATCTTAACCAAAAATATTTCAGGGATTTAGAGGCTATATTGAAGAAGAAGACCACAAATATGGTATTCTCAGAGATACTGCCTGTACCTCGAGTCACATTACAGAGGCAGCAGGAGTTAAGAGATATTAACAAGTGGCTGAGTAATTGGAGCAGGAAAGAGGATTTGGGGTTCCTGGAGAACTGGGATGGCTTCTCAGTTGGTTACCAGCTCTATAGTAGGGGCAGACTGCACCTTAATGGGGACAGTGCAGCTCTGTTGGGGGAGAGGATGGCTAAAAAGTTGGAGGGGCTTTTAAACTAAGTAATGGAGGGGGGAGGGATCAGAGGAATCAATAGCCAGCAGTAAGCGAAGGTCAGAGGGTGCCTTAATCATAATACCTAAACCCTGGGTAAGGTGGTTGGCAAAACAAAAATAAAGCCACAGAACAACTAATGAGAAAATAATATGCGCCCATACAAAAATGAGATGCATGTACACAAATGCCAGGAGCCAGGCTAACAAAATGGAAGAACCGGAGCTGCTGATACACAAGAAGGACTTCAACTTCGTGTGAATATCAGAAACTTGGATTGACAGCTCACATGACTGTTAGCAACTATCCAGGGGTGTTCCTTGTAACAGAGGGAAAGGGAGAGTAAAAGGGGAGGAGGGGTATGCCTGGACATCAAGAATGATTTGTTAGTGAAAGAGAGGGACGACATTGCAAATGGGGCAAGGGGGGATATGGAGTCCATGTGGGTGGAATATCAAAGAGAAGAAACAAGTGGGAAATAAATAGTGGGATTATGCTACAGACCCCCTAATCTGAAGAATGAGGAGGAGTTGGATCACCTATCACAGTTGGAAATGGCAACAAGATAGGGCAATGTCCTCATAACTACCCAGATTTTGACTGGGCAGAAGGAACAGCCCACTCATTTAAGGCTTATCATTTCTGAAGTGTCTTACAGGACAACTTTATGTGAAAATTGTTGGATGCCCCGACTAGAAAGAATGCATTGCTATATCTATCAATTACAAATACCACAAATTTGGTCACAGAAGTGGAAAAATGGGACAGCTTGGAAACCAGTGATTACAGGATAATTTCACTCAGCATAAATCATAGGAAAAGGAGTCATATGGGTAGTGCAAGAACACTAAATTTCAGAGCCAACCTTTCTAAACTACACTCAATACTACAAGATATTAAATGGGACCAATTCCTAGAAACATTGAACACTGAGGAAAAATGGGAGTACTTTAAGAACATATTAAACAGAGGTATCATCCAGTGTATTTCAATGTGCAACAAGTATAAAATAGTTAAGATTAAACCTGGGTGGCTAAACTTTAATGTAGAAAGACATATTAAAGGAGAAAATAAAAATCACCTTTAAAAATATGGTCAGCATTGTCAGCATTCCAATACTACAAGAGATGCAATAAGAAGCTTAAGAATGCAATCAGGTAAGCTAAGATAGACCACAAGAGACACTGTGGAGGAGAGTAAAAAGAAATATAAAAAATTCTTTAAATATATTAATAGCAAAAAAAGAGAGGTCTGAACATATTGGTCCCATAAAGGATGATGAAGGGAAGTTGGTTACAAATGACAAGAAGGCAAATGTACTAAATATATCCTTCTCCTCAGTGTTTGCTAAGGAAAAGGAGGGTTATAGCAATCAAGACTGTATCTATAGGAACGCATCACAGAGTGTACCCTTGTGGCTAACAGAAGCCGGTGTCTACAAAAGTCTTGAAAAGCTTAATTCAAATAAATCACCAGGACCAGATGGCGTACACCTGAGAGTCCTCAAAGAACTCAGTCAAGTTATAGTCAGACTGTTATTTCCAATTTGTATGGACAGCATACTGACAAGAATGGTACCAGCAGATTGAGGAATGGCCAGCGTGTGGTACCAATATTTAAAAAAAGGGCAAAGATACACTATATTGACAAAAGTATTGTGACACCTCTCCAAATCATTAGATTCAGGTGTTTCAATCACCTCCACGTCCACAGGTGTAAAAAAATCAAGCGCCTAGGCATACAGATTGCTTATACAAACATTTGTGAAAGAATGGGTCGCTCTTGGGAGCTCAGTGAATTCAAGCATGGTACTGTCATAGGTTGCCACCTGTGCAATAAGTCCATCCATAAAATGTCCTTGCTACTAAATATTCCATGGTCAACTGTTAGTGATGTTATATCAAAGTGAGAGCAACTGGGAACAACAGTAACACAGCCACGAATTGGTAGGCCACATAAAATGACAGAGTGGGGTCAGCAAATGCTGAAGAGCACAGTTCGCAGAAGTGGCCAACTTTCTGCAGAGTCAGTAGCTAAAGACCTCCAAACTTTATGTGGCCTTCAGATTAGCACCGCAACAATGCGTAGAGAGCTTAATGGAATAGGTTTCCATGGCTGAGCAGCTGCATCCAAGCTTTACATCACCAAGTGCAATGTAAAACGTCGGATGCAGTGGTGTAAAGCACAACGCCACTGGACTCTAGAGCAGTGGAGACGTGTTCTCTGGAGTGATGAATCATGCTTCTCTGTCTGGCAGTCCAATGGACGTGTTTGAGTTTGGCAGTTGCCAGGAAAACAATACTTGCCTGTCTGATTGTGCCAAGTATATAGTTTGGTCAAGGGGGATTGTGGTGTGGGTACTGTGAGCCAGGCCTTCTCGTCCGACATCAGTGCCTGACCTCACAAATGTGCTTTTGGAAGAATGGTCAAACATTCCCATAGACACACTCCTAAACCTTTTGGACAGCCTTCCCAGAAGTGTTGAAGCTGTTATAGCTGCAAAGGGTGGGCCAACTCAGTATTGAACCCTACAGACTAAGACTGGGATGCCATTAAAGTTCATGTGCGTGTAAAGGCAAGCGCCCCAATACTTTTGTCAATATAGTGTATATTCCTGGAAACTATAGGCCAGTCAGTCTAATACAATAGTATGTAAACTTTGGGAGGGGATGATAAGGGACTATGTCCAAGATTTTGCTGATGAAAACAGTATCCCTTAAACTTCCCCTTTTGGGTGGAGCCCTGCTTTAAGGCCATACCTGAAAGGCAGCAGCCTTTACCGCCAGTTTCCACCATTGGGCACAACCAACTGGAAGGACATCTCCCTACTCAGCCACAGAACCACCCACCTACGACCAGTGACTGATCCAGTCAGTACAGCATGGTCTTCAGCACAAACTTATTTAAAAGGGGAAACAGTTTAAAAACTACATCCATAATGTATACTGCTAATACACTTACATTCTACAAACACTTAAAATTCTAGTAAAAAAAGGCTAATATGTCTTAGCTACAATAGAAATTTCATAACTTTTACCGCATAATTTTAACAGAAAGCAACTTATTTTACTAAAATATAATTACAATGTGTATATAAATCCCTCTATTTTGATGCAAAGTAATTAAGGATTTTCTTCAAGAGGAAATTTATGAGTTAGTTAGATTCCCTTTTATTTCTGATATAATAGAAAAGTTTGCTTTGCTTGTTTATTATACACAAATTAATCATATTCTTTAAAATTAAAGTATTGATGGATTGGTACTAAGACATATTTAAAAAGATGAAAAAAAAACACATGGAACTTGAAAGTATTGGTTTGTTGAACATCCAGAAATACTTTGTCAAGTAAAAAAAAAACATCACAGAGAAATGCTTTAAAATGCAACCATGCAGAGCATTAAACTAGGTAGTGGGGGGAGGCATCAGAGGAAGCTATACCAGGCAGTGAGCAAAGGGAAGAGGGTGCTAATGTGGGTAACTTTTCTACAACCAGCCTGTCAGTTCTGATCAATCAGGGCCACCAGCTTTAACGATTAGAATACAATAATTTAGATGGAGTGATTCCCCCATCCACATTGAGAATGTGGGTAAGGGAATTGGGTCATTTTATTTTTTATTTAACCTGCTGGTTAAATGAAAAAAAAAAAAAAAGGAGAGGAGAGAGATATGATTACACTATACCTGAAAAAAGATGATTCTGGCAAAGGGAGAAAACTATTCATTCTCGTGTCTCTTTAGAAGACATGTGGCCACTCATTGAAGTTGGACGAGAAGTGGTTTAACCTGAAAGAGGCATTAAACCCAAAACAAAAAATATTATATACAGTATATTGCAGTTTACCAGTCATTAAATGTGTTGACCGTATTAGATTGATTTTCTTATGCTATTTTCTCTCTATTTTCACCTGGTGATCTGGCCAGTAACACACCTCCTGTATTAGAAAGCCCCCCTCTGGCTGAATGATCACAGGGGGCACCTTTGCACAGTGGCATTGTCAGTCAGGGAGTAGGATTAGTTTTAGCTGTACTAGCAAATTTTGATATACTAAAAAAGCAAGGCCAACTCCATCTAATACTTTATAAGCAGATACACCAACCAGTTTTTTTTTTTCCTTTTGGGATAAATGTTTTACATAAATGGATAAAAGCTGAACATGTAACCACCCCTGTCAGTGGTAAATGGTTTGGCTCATCTCTGTAACTGATACATTCTGCTGGAGAGCATGTTCTTTTGAAAAACAACAGATTTACTGGCTGGATCAAGAAAGAAAGCATAAAAAAGCAAATGAATGCAGACATTACATCTAAGAAATGGTACGCTGCAATATAATAAATATTTGCGTTTGGGTGTAAGACCACTTTAAACTGCGTAAGGGGTTATTTACTGTAAGAGTGGCAAGGATGTGGAATTCCCTTCCACAGTTGGTGGCATCATCATGGAGTATAAATAATTTCAAAAAAACTTTTGGATGGGCATCTTAGCATACACAATATGCAGGGATATGAGAAATGGTAATGACACAAACACATACACACACCCACACAGGCTGAACTGGATGGACTGGTGTCTTTACTCAACTTTATCAACTGTGTAACTATATACAGTAACTGTAATTCATAAAAAGAATTGTGGGTATAAGGATCAGTGTCTAGCAGCGCCATATCTGTTGTGAATCCACCCTAAAAAAAGCACCACTTGGCCACAACACAAACCAGAGATTAACATAAGAGTTGTCTATGCAGTGGTGGCATTACCTAAAGGCTGTGGGAGTGTAAATATGGCTCTATTTGCCATACATGACTTGCTGAGTCATTTTGTTAAGCATATGTAATAGATAAAAAATATATGAAAGGGTTACATTAATTTTATTCTGCAAAGGCAGAATGTTTTAAAGGCATCTGCAAGCAATTAAAAGGCTGCCATTCACATAACAGGATCAGGGGCGGATTGACAACTCATGGGGCCCCCAGGCAATAGGGGATCATGGGGCCCCTGTGTCCTTGCCCAAACTCATAAAAGCCTATGAAAAAGGTACCAGGGGCATCTCCTGGGGCCCCCTACTGACCCCGGGCCCTAGGACAGTGCCCGAGTTTCCAAATGGTTAGTCCGCACCTGAACAGGATTAATAATGATCGCTCACTCCTAAAAAATGATTGGGCCATTTAACTTAAGAATTATAGACTGTCCAGCTGAGAGGCAAAATATAAGAATTATTTTAGTTTTTGCAGAAGGTTTTAAGTAGAGATGAGCGAATTATTCAAAAATTCGATTCGGCTGATTCGCCGAATTTGCGGGAGAAATTCGATTCGATGCGAATTTATTCGCCGTGAATTTAACTTATTTAAAGGGTTTCTAGGCTTCAGAGAGCCTTTATATTAGTGCAGAACACTGTACCTTTAATTTAAATGCCCTTGGAGTCTGCTGGGGAAGAGAAATAATACTGACAGTCAGTATGACATGCAGATGAGTGCCGTCGATCTTAGAATCACCGCACACTTCACTCATTTGGGCAGTCACGGAGCATGACGAAGAAGAAGAAGAAGAAGAAGAAGAAATGAGAAGAAGAAGAATGAAAAGAAGAAGAAGAATGAAAAGAAGAATGAAAAGAAGAAGAAGAAGAATGAAAAGAAGAAGAAGAAGAATGAAAAGAAGAATGAAAAGAAGAATGAGAAGAATGAAAAGAAGAAGAAGAATGAAAAGAAGAATGAAAAGGAGAAGAAGAATGAAAAGAAGAAGAAGAAGAATGAAAAGAAGAATGAAAAGAAGAATGAGAAGAATGAAAAGAAGAATGAAAAGAAGAAGAAGAATGAAAAGAAGAATGAGAAGAAGAATGAAAAGAAGAATGAGAAGAAGAATGAGAAGAATGAAAAGAAGAATGAGAAGAATGAAAAGAAGAATGAGAAGAATGAAAAGAAGAAGAAGAAGAATGAAAAGAAGAAGAATGAAAAGAAGAATGAAAAGAAGAAGAAGAATGAAAAGAAGAAGAAGAAGAAGAAAAGAAGAATGAAAAGAAGAAGAAGAATGAAAAGAAGAATGAAGAAGAAAAGAAGAAGAAGAAGAATGAAAAGAAGAAGAATGAAAAGAAGAATGAACTATATTACTATATCAGTCTCTAATGGATGCTGGAGAGTTTTAAACCCCCTAACACCTGCTGTGCCCATTATGAGGGGTTCCCACCATCCCTGTGCTGAGGTTCTGGGTATGCACACCTGCTGTGCCCATTATGAGGGGTTCCCACCATCCCTGTGTTGAGGTTCCAGGTCTGCACACCTGCTGCGCCCATTATGAGAAGTTCCCACCATCCCTGTGCTGAGTTCCTGGGTCTGTACACCTGCTCTGCCCATTAGGAGGAGTTCCCACCATCCCTGTGCTAAATTCCTGGGTCTGTACACCTGCTGTTCCCATTATGAGGGGTTTCTACCATCCCTGTGCTGAGGTCCCAGGTCTGCACACCTGCTGCGCCCATGACTAGGGGTTCATACCATCCCTGTGCTGAGGTTCTGGGTATGCACACCTGCTGTGCCCATTATGAGGGGTTCCCACCATCCCTGTGTTGAGGTTCCAGGTCTGCACACCTGCTGCGCCCATTATGAGAAGTTCCCACCATCCCTGTGCTGAGTTCCTGGGTCTGTACACCTGCTCTGCCCATTAGGAGGAGTTCCCACCATCCCTGTGCTAAATTCCTGGGTCTGTACACCTGCTGTTCCCATTATGAGGGGTTTCTACCATCCCTGTGCTGAGGTCCCAGGTCTGCACACCTGCTGCGCCCATTACTAGGGGTTCCCACCATCCCTGTGCTGAGGTTCTGGGTATGCACACCTGCTGTGCCCATTATGAGGGGTTCCCACCATCCCTGTGCTGAATTCCTGGGTCTGTATGTACACCTGCTGTGTCCATTGTGAGGGATTCCCACCATTCCTGCACTGAGTACCTGAGTCTGTACACCTGCCAAAAGAAAGTTTCAGGATTTTGAAGGAGCAAAATACAGTAATACTGGAACAAAAATGAGCTGCGTGGTGGAGTTGCCAGAAGAAGAAGAAGAAAAGAAGAAGAAGAAGAATGAAAAGCAGAATGAAAAGAAGAAGAAGAAGAATGAAAAGAAGAAGAAGAAGAATGAAAAGAAGAATGAAAAGAAGAAGAAGAAGAATGAAAAGAAGAAGAAGAAGAATGAAAAGAAGAATGAAAAGAAGAAGAAGAAGAAT